CTCTTGTGTACTTCCTTCCTACTCGCTTGGAAGCCGCTATTAATCGTATCGCGTCTTGCATTAGATAGTATACATGTATTTTAGAATTAAAAGACTGTATATTGTGTAATTAAAATTATACTTTTATATTGTATACCATAAATATTTTTCATCAGATTGCAATGAAAATAATTGCAGATATCTATGTCGAGAGGCAACAATAGAATATCATACTTATTGTGATTAATATATAAACCACGCATCAACAACATCATTTTGCAATAATAGATTGATTATATGAATCAGTTTCTTTATAATTAATTAAAATTTCAAAGCATAATTATCTATTAAAAATAATAGACTTTTGTCAACTTAAAGAGATAAAATAGATAATAAGACATATCCTCTTTAAATTTAAACAAATCGAATTTTAATTTGAGTTTTACGAGGAAACATATGTATATTTTTTTATTTTGATAAATTTGTGTAAAAATTTTAAAATAAGAGTACATGTTTTTAATTGATGGTTTAACAAATCATATATATAAATAAATGATAAATATATTTTTTCGACATACAATTTTTTGTATATTATATATCGTAATATTTGGGTGCAATATAATTACTAGTTAACTATTACTTTTCACTAGTTCTTGTTAATTCTCTCTTCTTTACCTTACTTGAATTTTTTTTTACTTTTTAATCTCTCAGAAAATTGATGAAAACTCTTTTCATTACTCAAGTGAAAAATGAAGAGCAATAGGATTATCTAGTTATCAAGATCGATCAAAAAGATTAGTTATCTTCTATTATCGTTAGAATCTTTTGCAGAAGTCGGACTTGGTATCGGTAAATAGATATAAAAATATGAAGAAGACAAGTGTACATAAGAGAGAGAGAGAGATGTGCAGATATAAAGTATTATCAATATTCTCTTCTCCAAAATCTCTTAATACTCCCTTAAGTACGTATGATGCGACTAGGTTCCTCTGGTTCACGCCATAACATGTCTGACTTTTGGAACCCTGTTGGTAGCAACATATCTAGGCAGTTGGCCGGGATGTTGGCGGCATGGGCGGAGGCAGGAATCTCACAGGCAACCCCCCATTCGCTTTCCGGGTGCCACCCTTCTTTTCGAGCTGCTACGAGCTATCCCTTGCCCCGGGCTGCGGCAATCACGCACATGCTCGCGCATGCGCTGGTACGGCAACATCGCACGCATGGGTGCCCATGGGCGCCCATACGATTGCATAGGAGGGGATACGAGAAACAGTAAATACCTATGATACATCATAATGCTCCTGTGATACCTGTAAATTATGATACCGCGTGTGTTTCGAGGCTGCTTATTTTTCTATTAAGCAAAAGCGTTCACCCAATATGTTATTTCTGTCTGTTTGTCTCGCAAGTTACGTTGCCAATTTTCCTTCGGTCATTATCGTTGCAACTGTAGAGAATAAAAATATATGATAAGCTATATATCAAAATTAGCAAAAGTGTTAATAAATAATTGAATTATTCAAACAATGTCTCTAAAAATACTAAATTTTGCAAGAAATAATTTTTTTTATATGTGATAATTGTATCGAATCATTATTTTAATAAATATTTTATTTGCTTATTAACTTAATCGTATGTAAAACTTAAATAAATATATATATAAATTAATACAATTAATAACGTCTAGGTTTCTCCTATACATGCTGAATTTTTAGTATTATTACATTTTTATAATTAATGCTGAATTTTTAGTATTATTACATTTTTATAATTAATTTTTATATTATTAATTTTTTATAATTATTTTTAAGATAACAAGTTGAACTAGCCTTATAATATTTTCGATAAAGAGATGTTTGTTATAACGTTATCCATGCAAATAATTTACTTATTATTTTTAACCTGTTTGAAATTCAATTTTGCTTTCGTTTTTGCAGCTCGTCACTGCAGCTGTTATCAAATCTAGAATGGAAACGATACTTGCGAACCCAACATAATGCGAATATACCTAAGAAAGAGATAGTGTCAAAACTTAAGATAACAAGTTGAACTAGCCTTGGCTGATTAACGGTGTTTCCTGACAGAATAATAAATAGTGTAAAAGATTATGAAAAATACGAAAGCGAGAAAAATATCGCGCTCGCGCGCGCACACGCACATACATACGCACATACATAACGTGAAAGGAAAATGTTGCACGAAAAAAAATGATGGACGTGATTAAATGAGTGTGGGAGTATAATACGATTTGGAAACACGATATTATTGTAAATTATGAAACATTTATTTATTCATTGATTTACGGCTGTATAGTTCTCATCGATTCTTAAGATCAATATAAACATAAGCATTGAAGTGTGCCCGATGACGTTTTCTTATCGTACATGCTCTATATACATTTAATAATTATAGCAAAGGGTATAATGTCACACTTATAGAACGATCTCGAAACTCATACATTTACTTTTTATGTCCTTTTCGCTAATTACATTAACTCGATTCTTTAGAATTAAAGTACCTTAAGAGATTTAACTCAGCTTCTTACATCTAATAATATTGTTTTGGTATAGTCACAGCGGTTCTGTGCATTAATTGTTTGATTACTACTCGCTTAAATCAACTTCTGATTTACTCACGTGCAATTGTGTCCTAATTATTATTGGTCATTCCTCATTTCCTTTCGGTAAAAATATATACTATCATTTCGAATTATTTACAATGTACCTTACGGAAAGATGCTTTCAAATATAATACCTTCAATTATACCTCTACTATTTTTTAAGAGTGTTTTAGAGAGATCCTGAAATATATATTTTCTTTCCGATAATTAAATACTGCTTTCCAATTGAGTAATAATTTTTTCAAAATGCATAAAAATACATGAAACCTAATATATATTTTAAAATTTAAAATACTGGAGAGAAAAATTACTGACATTAATAATAATATTCTGCAATCATACAATAACAATCAAGATTTTGACTGGATAATTTAATTTCTGTTGATACTTCATGTAAAAGTCAATATTAACATTTACTTATATAATAATAATGATAATATATGAAATATGAACATTATTTCTATATCATGTTGCAATAAAATTTTCTCTTTACACAAATATATACATACTTAAAATATACATAAAAGTTGTAGTGAGTTATATATATATATATATATATATATATATATATGTATATGTATATATATATGTACACTTTTTTATTTTATAAAATATCAATTTCTCTTTAAATGTTGGTATTATTATTAAGACAATAATAAGAACGTGTGTCTATGTTTTACAAGTCTGAAAAAGAGAAAAATGTTAACGAATTGCAAGTCTTAAAGAGAAAAAAATATTTCATTCCTCAGACATAAAAAAAATGCTATGGCAAGCATGAAGAAATGTGTTTGCGTTAATTATAATTTAATCTGTTTATAAGTATAATCCAAACAATATATGAAAAAAAATCTACATTATAATTTTAAAAAGCCTTTCTTGATCTTATGATTTCCTTTGCACGCATATGCATTTTTTATTTGTCTAATTTTTAATCTGTATCAGATGCTTTCACAATAATATATACATTTCTCATAATATATGTGCTTTTTCATCTTGTACAATATTGCACAGTATACCTTATTATATAAAGTTAAACATGCATTCGATGATTTCGGAACATACATATCATGTATAAAATATATGCGCTTCATAATTTAAAACTGCATTTACTGTAAGTGTTTTGTGGTTGAATATAAGATCAAAAGATAAAATATAAAAGATTTTATATTTATCTTTTGTACATGGCATTTTATTTTTAATATAATATTATACGATATTAAATTAAACAATAAAAATATAGTCTAACTTTTTAATCAGCAATCGCATCATATCTGAACACAATGTGTATGCTCCAAATACACTTTTGAATGTATTTAACTTACTGATATAAGGCATATATGTTGTGCTTTCTATGCATATGATAATGTGCGATAGATTTGAAATTAGTACATTAGTATTTGAGTGCAAACACTCAAAACGCAAGAGATCAGAAATCTTTGATCAGACTTTAAAATTACTAAGAATATTAGAGCAATAATTTAAAAAGAATTTTATAATTTGCCTTTCAATAATCCATACTGTTTTTCAGACGAGTAATAATTTTTTTAAATGCGTAAAAATACAAGACATATATATTTTAAAATGATATTTAAAATATATTGAAGATTTTTATATTTAAAAAATATACTTTTACTAAGAGAGAGAGAGAGAAAGCACATGATATGGAATATATTGCTGATTGAATTATATTTGTAAACAAATGTCTTAATGCTTTATATTTTTCTTTCTTCAAGACTTATAATTCAAAACGTTAATATGTTACTACTATTTTCATATTAATCAACATTTAAAGAAAAATTAATATAATTACTACATAAAATAAAAATTATATATATATATATATATATATATATATATAATTTTTATTTTAGTTTATATATATATATATATATATATATATATGTATAACTCATTTAACTTTTATGTATGTATATATTAATGTAAAGAAATGCGCGGAACATAATATGAAGTAATAGTGTTTATTTTTTGTATATTATAAATAAGTGTTGATATTGGCTTTTACATGATATGTCACACATAAGTACACATAAAAAAATATAAATTTTCAAGTAAAAACTGTGGTCTATATATAACTTTGTTGTATAGTGGCAGAGTGTTCATTCATGTGAATACCAATCTTCTCTCTACCAGTAAAAAATCTCAATATTTTAAATTTAATTTTAAAATATAAATTATGTGTCATGTGTGTATTCTTATGCATAATTAGCATTAGAAATGCTAATAATAAATAACGACAGGATTTGTCATTGCATTATTGAAATGTGTGTTCACACATTTAATTAACTTAATTAAAGTTAATTAATAAATCAATACACTTATAAAATTTAAGATTATATAATTATTAATTGATATTCAGTCAAATATAAATAGAAAGTTGTCTTGGAAGAATAAAATTTCTTTTCATTTTGATAATCAAATTTATTGTTAACAGTCTAAGATACGACGCTCTTATATATTCTATACTGCATCCGGACATTATTACCTTATTTCTTTTGCTGTAGAATTGTGTTCCCTTTTTTACTCAGCTACGATAAGTTTTTCTCAAATCTAGCTTCCATGGTTTTCAAAAATTAAAGAAATTTTCCTCATTGTAACGAAAAATCAGATATTATTCTTATATTTTTCCTTTAAAATAGCCTCAACTAAACTTTAAAGTTTGGCTATTTTGAACTTAGCAGTTTAGATCAAAATTAACGGATCATCATTGTAATAAACCATTGTAATAAATCATTGTAATAAATTATGTAAAAATAATAACGCCTCATCATTTTTCTCGTTCACACCATCTAATGAGAAGAATTCAAACTACGTTTATACCATTTGCAATAAATATCCGATCGAACACAAAAGACAGCGGATAGCAGTGTAATATCGAAAATGTTACATCATCGAATATATCTTCCGGAATGGATGTTACAGAGGCGTAAGACCGTAATCGGATTTTATCCCCGATGGCGGTACAGGAGCTGATACTTGCGACAATCCAGGAGGGCTGGTAGCCGGAGCGAGTGGACTGATACTTCCGGAACTTATGTGTCCCAACGGTCCTCCCGTCGGACCGTCCATCATTCCACCCACGTGATGATGACTCAGCTGCGCTTGGAGATGAGCCAGAGAATGAGGGTGACCTTGAAAGCTCGGGTGAACCACGGGAGGAGGAAGAGTGGTGCTGACCCCATGAACTTCGCCCATATCGTGACCGATGTTCGAGTCCAGACTATTCTCCATACCGCTAGAGGGTGAGTTGTTGTTTTTCCTTTGGCTGTTATTGTTACCCGTGCCGGACTTTGCTCGTGTCCCCGACGTCTTCGCCGGCTTCGCCGTTGCTGGCGGTGCCTGGCCGTTTGCGTTCTTCCTGCGCACGTTCTTCGTATTTGGCAGCTTGTTGTCTTTCTTCCATTTCATACGGCGGTTCTGAAACCAGATTTTGATCTGTCGCTCCGACAAGACCAGGTTATGAGCAATCTCGATTCGTCGTCGTCTCGTCAGGTACCTATTGAAGTGGAATTCCTTTTCCAGTTCGAGTATCTGATGCCTCGTGTAGGCAGTTCTCTGTCGCTTTGGCTCCATTCCAGGTGTATACGAGCCGTTCGCTATAAGAAAAAAAGAAAAGTCGAAATATGTAGTACGGTAAGAACAAACAATGAGGAATTTTCAGTTACAAAGGCTTAACTTTCTTCTTTATCTGAAAAGAATGGCTATTCAAGAACGGAACTATTCTAAACGTGTGTGGTCTTTACTTTAAAACTGGGCTTTTTAAACAATTTCAAGTTGACGTTTTCTTAAAAGAAATGTGACTGAACTTTATTTTTAACATTACACATAAAAATTAATTATATATATTGTATAATATTATAAATATTATAAATATATACAAGTATATTAAGTCTTATATAAATATAAAAAATAATTCTTACATTTTTTGTATTTCATTCTTAGCACAAACACATATAAAATTATAAAATTAAATGAAAAGTACGTAGTTTGTATTTATGTTTTCCATTTATATATATTTAAAATTTTATTATCTATTAATATGTGTGCATTTAATAATATATGAAGTTTAATATTTCAAAGAGATATCCATTTAAAAACTATCAATACTTTCACATATTTTTTTAGATTATTACATTAAAGAAAAAATAAACTTCGAATTCCTCAAAGAATTTAGTTTTAAAATGAGATATTATGTTCACAATTATACGAAATGATTTATCAATAAATTTCAATTATCGATTTTTTAAGCACATATACACATATAATAGAGGCAATCTTTTTTAAAAATGTTTAATATGATTAATTTTCTAGATCTTCACATTACGATTGACGATAAATAATTTTTTTATGAATTAAATTCTTTATTATCAAAATTTCACATTTATAGATTCTTATTATAATAATATGTATATAATATTAAAATAATATGTATATAATGTGTGCGTTTAGAATACTTTACATATTCCATGCTTTATATTACATTAAAATTATATTATTAAAATTTAAAAAAATTTTTAATATTTGTTGAGAGAACATTCTCATGCTTTCTACTTATACTAAACTACAACTAACCATTCCCATTTTTCCTGATTCTCATCGCTAACATTATCATTATTAGCTCGACGAAGTGTTACAAATAAATCTTAAGGAGGATCTACTCTTCCGTTCGATTTATTGCATCATTATGTCCACTAGTTTCTTCGTGACTTTTTTCCTACTCACTTTACTATTGTATCTATTCATCAAAACCTAGAAATAAGTTGCGTGAAAAGAAGGTATCGGATGCTCACTAGAAAAATCTCTCTTCGGACATCGTTAAAATATAGTACAAACATATAATGAATGCTTAAGCGATGATGAAACCATGTCATTTTAACAACAAAAGAAAGAAGAGTTTGCTACTTTATACATATAATTATTACCGTAATTATTAAATATCTCGTACAGTGATGATTTACAGAGATATTACATGCATATAACATTTTTTTTTGTATATGACCATATGACTACGTCATGTTCGTTTTGAATAGCATCAACAGTTGAAGTGACTTTTGTAATCTGATCAATTCGCAAGATACGCCGGTCGAGTTGCGGAGGCAGAATACGCGTATGTAAATTCACGAGGATAAAAACTGCCAGGCGCGTACACACGTGCGTAGTAGTATTTAAAAACATATAAGAACAATAGATTATCCTTTACATAACCCTAGGTTAGTTTCAAGATCAGATGATAATTGCCTCGTCGAACATGTTCGTCAAGTTTTACAGGTCTTATCAGAAGATACACTGATGCAGTTGATTAATGTTTGATAGAAATATTTGAAAATGCAAATATAAATATTAATTATAAATCGCAAAATGTCCAAAGTACTCTCGAGAACAATCAGATATCATTGAAATACGACTCACAACGTACGATTGAACAAACGAATTAGGAGAAAAAAAAGTATCTCGCTGTGTGCGAGGTTGATATTAATATTTGTGAGTCATGCTAGTAGCAGTCCATGGTGGTCCGTTCAATTCGATAGAGGAAACATGGGAACAAGTTCAGTCTAGAATCCGTGCAGACACATTCCATTCCGAGCTGACCGTCGGTCTCGCGGAGGCCCCTTTCAACTCCGACGTCCGGCGACCATACTTCGACAACCAAAGGGGAAAGATTGCAGACTCTGACAGCCCGACGGACGAGCATACCAAAGTTCAGAGATTTCAAATATTAAATCGCACGACGCGCGTAGCATAATGGAAAATGTAACGTCATACGTTCGAAAGGATATTTTCATGTAACTATTACAGACAGTTAAATATAATTTTGTCACTTGTACGTACAATAAAATTTTTCAATCATTTCTCAAAATGAAATCATCGGTCTCGGTAAATTGACATTTATATCTTTATAATCTATATTTATTTTCCATATAATAATTAAAACAATAAATGTATGAATTCTTATATTATGTAGTTCGTCAAAAAATAATTATCCTTTTAGACTGATTATTTACATTGTAATTTTATATGAGATTTTATATTATTAGCAAATTATTTTTGAAATACTTTTCTAATTTTCTAGCAGAATAAATGTTTCATAACAAATTATTTTCTTTTTCTAAATTCTTGTTATATATTGTTACATGCTATCAAATTTTCCATCAGATAATGTTTGTACATAATATTATAATATATGTATAATATTGAAGACTCTTATATGTTGAATGTTAAAAACTGAACGAAATTTTTTCAATAATATATAACATTTTCTCTTTCATCATTCTTCTTATAATATTTTAATTTGCATTTGTAATGTATGTGTCTGTGTAAAAATGCTGCATTTTTGCTTTTAAGGGGTACTAGGATATAAAAGTTTTTATTGCAGGCAATTTTTTTCTGAAAAAATCCATTATGATATTCGGTTTTACAGTATGGCGTGGAATCTTTTTTATTATAGTCATATCATATACAGCGGTCTCGCGAAGGAAATACTTGCAAGCTGGAATGAGCAGCACTTTTCAGATCAAGCGGAATAGAAATTTTTATAGCAGCAAAGCTAGATAGTCTAATTTTCAAGGGATATTACGTTGCAAAACTATTTTTGTATACCTGAGAAATATATGATTTTTCTTTTAGTCACGTTATATACAAATATGACAAATCCGGGATACGAATAATAGATGTACTGCTCTCAATCTTTATAATTTGTAGAACATTAATTAATACACCTGTAGTTACGTTGAAAATCGTCTTTCTATCTTTATGAGAATAGGAAGCACGCGTATATTAGTTCTGGAAGTAATTGTCTGATTAATTATGAGAGAAGAACTTCATTTTAATTGCCTTAATTATAACAGTCCGGAGCTTATATCCAGCGCCAGCAATATCTATCTAATTCAAAGTTTCGAGCACCACCAACGGTGAGAGTTTACTTGAAACACGCGATGGAAAACCTCTGTGTCGAATTTCGAAATTTGTATTATTGACCCCAGCGGTGAATCGTGTTGCGGAACTTCTATTCTTGCAGTATTCGCTACTGTATGAAAGATGAAGATATATTAGGCGTAACCGAATTCACCTATAAAATGAGGTGTTGTTGGAACCTCACACAGGTGATCACAAGGTGCAACGATAAATTTCGGCCCATAAGTCTTCGAGCCGCTCCAAAGCGCCGTCACCTTGCGCGCATATAATGCAATGTATATCCATTAAATACATAAACGGAGATACTTTGGACAGGTGTGTCTGTCGGATCCAAGAAAACAAATTTACCACAAAATCTAGGCACTCTTATATATCATCGTATTCATTTAAATCCATAAATATTCTTTTTCGCTTGCTTTGAATAATATTAATAAATGAACAACGCGGTAAATAATGATAAATGTTTAACTAATTTTACTTAGTTTTTTTTTCTATTTAATTAAAAGGAAATGATATCGAGATGATGTATAACATTTAATTTGCAGTAATGTCTTATGAATTATGAATATGTAAAAAAATAGATTCTCTATGCAAGACACAAATTGCATCAAGCCGTCGGATATTTTTACAATGATTGATTATATTTTTCATGATAAAAACATAATTGTAATGTAAATAATTTGTAAATAATGTAGATAATTTATAAATTATTTACTAAGTAGATGATACCTTCAAGATCAAGAATGAATATCATAAAAAACAAATCTCTTTCTTCTTATGAATAAAATTAAGTAAAGAAAGAACATGAAATACTACGCTGCATAGATAATGGAAATGAAATCAAATAAAATGCAATCCACATGGTCTTCGTGAGAAATAGCGGAAATAATTGCAAATTTATGTATGTTTACTCACCGACGCCCGCAACATGAATCTTTTTCATCCATGGATAAATAGTGCGTTCTCTGTTCTCGTCATCTTCCTCTTCTTCCTCCATTATACCCGGCGAACTCTCCATCTGACCGTCTTCTATGTCATCTGGATCCGAGCTATCCTCCACATGATGTTGCTGCTGTTGTTGTTGTTGAGGGGTCTGTTGGCCACCCTGTATATGTTGAGATTGCTGAGACAATGACTGTTGCGTCTGAAGATCGGGCGAATTATCCCGGTGCAACTGACCCGAGCCGGCCGGACTGCAGGCATTGTTCTCGTGTTGTTGTTGATGATGCTGGAGGGTATCCGGCTGTTGCACGTGATTCTGCATTATAGACGGCGACAGAGGCGTGGATCCGAGAATCGTTGACGTAGGTACAGATGGTTGCTGGTGTTGCGGTTGCTGCTGTTGCTGCTGCTGACTTTGTATCGACGACGGACACGTGAGCGGCGGCTGCTGGGCTTCCGGCGGCATCGCTAAAGCACCCACCGCGTGATGATGAGGATGCAGACTGGGATGGTGTACCGTGTGCACTTGGTGATGAGGATGATGAGGGCCGTAATATCCGCCGTATCCCGCGTATCCTCCGTTCAATTGTACCGCCGAGGAAGCTCCGTAAGGAGTCGATGCCGCCTGATGATGATGCTGATGATAGCCGTACTGTAGCTGAGATTGCGGATGGCTCAAGTGGTGACCGCTGCTACCGCTCGAGAAGAAGTCCGCGCCGGTCGAAGGTATATAATTACTCTGGCTGTACTCTTCGCTAGGAGGAAACTTGGGATCGACCATGACGGAAGTGGTGGCTAAGTGATGATTTCCAGCCTGCTGCTGATGCTGATGATGGTGATGATATCCACCAGCGGCGGACGGATTCATCAGGAAGGAACTCATATTCGTCGGGCACTTTCTCGCGGAAAACACACACACGCGCACGATAGTTCGGAAAAATCTGAAACGACCGCACTTCGCGATTCTGCCTTCTTATCTGACTCTCCGCATCAGTTCGTCAGATTCGATGCACCATTTCATATTAATATTCATCATTCTCACAAGCTGACACTGCACCGCACTGCGCTGTGGTCCATCGTCCACACCTCGCCGCCTCTTGCGAAAAGGGGTGACGTTTTCTCGAAAGGAGGAAAAAGAGAGAAAGAAGGAGAGGGAGAAAAAGAGAAAAGAAATGGAAAGAGCGGGGCTACAACGAGCACAGGACTCCCGGTGGACAGCTGCTTATTCTCTCTTCTCCTTCCGCCACTTTCGCGATCCTCCACGACCTCGTTCGCTCCTTCCCGCCCACCGGAGCCCAATTACCATACCACGTGACCACAAAACCGACCAATCGGAGCTGTTCCTAGCCCGCGACCATGATGGATAACCATGGCACGCATGCAACACGTGAGTGGCGCCGCGAGATCCACTGCGGCAGGTGTAGCAACTTCTTGCCTTGCTTCTCTATTTCACTGTCATCGAATTCTATACATTCACAGTTTATTCATTTTTAACGCAAACTGCAATTCCCTTTTCCTTGATAATACGCACTTGTTTCTCTCATAAACTTTCACTTTTCATACACACCATTGATCCGCAATATCAAGTATGATATTTCTACAAACAATCTGATCTGAACCAATCAAATATCGATACGAATCGTACGCTCGAATAAATGAGTAAATGTCAATTTCTCCGCACTGCACTTCTGTATCACTGCTGTCTCTCGTGTGAAACAATCTTCTTGCAAGTACACAGAGACGAAGCGAACGAAGCCTCTCGTCGGAGAGAAAGAGAGACTTGAAAGTGAGCTCGTCCTGCCTCGGCAGAAACTCGTCTGGCAACTCTAGTGTGCTTCCACTCCCTCCAGCTTCGTTCGCGCCGGCTGGCTTTGAGCCGATGCGGAGAGCCACGTCCCCCCTTCTCGTCATGCGTCTTCTCCAGAGTCACCCCCACTCTGTAGCGGCATGAGACCAACCCCTGCCACGGAAACAGTGGATCTTGTGCCCTTATGGGGCATACTCGAGGGTACGTATAACCGTGGAGTCACTCCTACGTATCCCCTTAACCCGCCTCCCTGCCACGGAAATCCATCTTATGGCCGGAGTCAATGCTGAGAGAAACGGTGGCAATGAACGTTAATGCTGTTGATATTGAATACTGCGGCGAAGGTAATCGCGCCACTAATTCCGAACTATTTGTCGTGACCAGCAGGTGTTACCATAACCGCCCATTACACCTCTATTTGCCAATATTGTACGAAAATGGAGTATTAATCGAACTACTATAATAGATATCTCGCTTTTCTGTGCGTTACAACAAACTTAATATCCGAAGTTGCGGCTAACGAAATATATTTATCATCGATCGTTGTCGTAAGAAACGAGTAAATAAATATTTTCTATAGGTCAAAATAGATACACGTGTATTTGTTATAAAATAATAAATATATAAAGTTCTCGAGAAAAAAAGTTGTTTATATTATTGTCATCTTTTCGCGAGGCTCTTTGTAAATAATAGGCGTTCGAGCTTGAAAATGTTACGTGAAACGAGTTCGAATTGGCTAAATTAATAGCAATAGATCTGCTCTTTGATTACACTCTGTTCATATTAATGCACTGGTGTCTCGGCGTACTCGGTCAAGTACGTCTACTCGCGATCAGCTGCGTGGCATAGAGAATATAAAACGCCGAGTCATTACACAAAGAGCATACTCACTGTGTTTTGCTTTGGTACGACAATACAGCACGGTAAATTTAAGTTACGTTGACTGTGCGCCTGTATAAACGATCCAGGAAATAACAGTATCGGAATATTGTAGAAACGGTATTGTAGAAACGTAGAACAAAGACGAGATTAAAAGTCGTCGCGTGAGGATTAAACGATACAAACGGAAAGAGTTCTTTACGTCCTTATTGTCGAAAGTCTTTCGATTTTTCAACTTGTCGGATATGCGTCCAAGAAAAGTGGAAATAATTTAGGATTGAATGGCGTTCAAGAAGGCTCTGCAAGAGCGCATCGCTCGTTTTTACCCCATACATATCTCTCTTCCTCTCTCGAGTTGGTTTTTCGTTAACTCGGATATGCCGTGGCTTATTTCTATTTTTCTTATGGCCACTTCATGTCGTTCCAAGCAGAAGAGCGGAGCTTTGAGTGGAATCTGGAAGAGTCCAGAGGGGTTGAAGGGGTCGCGCGCTGAATGACGTGGAGGAGGCTGGAGGGGGTTGTCTTCTCGTTTTGCGATACAACCTCCTCGTCTTTATCACCGACGATGCTCGAAAACTTCTGTCCTTCTCTCTTTCCTCATCCACCGCCATCTTACGCCATCTCTACTTTCGTCGTCCCGCTCCTTTCCTCCGATTCTGCCCCGACTCTTCTGCTCTTGTCTTCCGGCGAAACACGATCAATCACTTTTCCCGGTCCGCCGGCATGACACCCCCTTTACACCCACGGCTATCCTCCAAGAGGGCCTGCTTCGTCAACGACGAGTCCTTTCGGCTACCGGACGAATGTGTGATCTTCCAAGTGACGATTATCGTGAGATCGCACACGTGGGTCTGTCATATCGCTTCATGAATTTTGTTGTCTCATGGAGTATCGTCGATGTTCCGACATTCAAAATGAGCTTTGAATTAACGAAATATAGTGATATATTTTGTATTATCAATGTTGACAAATTCTGAAATAGTAAATCATTTATCACATATCATTGGAAAATTTATTTCTCGATCTGGAAAACTCGCTCGCGCTTAAACATCATTTCCATCCGGAGCAAATGTCAAAATGACAATGCAACGCTTTAAGTAATTCGTCTTAAACTATACCGTGCGATATCTCTCTATAAAAACTCGCTTGGCAGGAATTCTTCGTGGATCCAAGATTTAAAGAGTTCAACGGACTTGCATTGTGATAATGATAAATGACGAAACAGTTTACGATTTAATATCAATCTTGGCCAAGGCTGGTGCTTATTATTACCCATTAGTAAAGTTTTAATAACGCAATACGGTGCTCGGCCGGGGGTGAAACCGTTGCGATTTATCATTTTCATCGCTTTATTAACGGCGTTTCAGTTATATTCAACTTGTTGATCGCTTATGAAAGAGGAGCATCGTCTCTGATATTGAAGCTACGCGAATTTGCGTTTCCGGGATTATTTTTAGCGAGGCCCGAGAGCTGATTAATCATCTCAACCGAAGGTAGAAAACTGCAGAGGATATTTCGAAGAGAATCGGGTCACCTATATATTGGAAAATAAACAGTCATCTTTAAATATCTGCGATATAAAAGTATAATTTCTTTAAAGTTATTATAAGGAATAATTTGCTCTCGAAGAGAAAGAAAAATATGAATGCGCAATATCGCTGAATAAAAGTTAAATGCCGCAAGCAAATAAATTATAATTCAATTTCCATCAAATTATAACAATCTCTTTTAATCTTCGGGGAATCATCGATCGATGATATTTATTTGAGAATTCTAAATATTTACGATCCAATATAGTCTACTACAATAGAATCATGATCGATAGATCTTTCGGGAGAATCACGCGCGATACAATTTCACACATGGCGTTTCAGATTTTGAAATTTCGAAAATGCGAATGTTTTTCGCATTCGTTGTAACTTAAGGTGTTGGCAGCGGATCTGTCCGAGGTGAGAAACATGAGTCTCTGGAGATTCGATTTCGCTGCTGAGTCACGATCTCGAGCTTGCCGACATGAAAAGGGGTCCGTGTCCCCTTAGGGACATCCAGTATACATCTGATGCCTTAGATATCCCGAACGGTTTTCAAGACTGTTCCTTTATCCATGTGCGCTCAGCTAAACAACATAAAAGTATGCACACTCGAGTATTGTTGCAATTTTGCAATAATTTTCTCTCGACAAAAAATTGTAAGCAAGCGTTCATTATATCTTGGAGAATAATTATACGAAAAGCAAAGAAACATTCATATTTGCACAAAACTTTTCCATTAACATACAAACGTTATAATCTTTTTATCACTCGAGTCTCTCTTGAGAGATCATTTATTTAGTCGCACGGGAAAAAAACAATTTGTTAAAGAAGGAAACGTGTTCTCGTCGAAAATGTAAAAAGCACCGCGCGCAAGGCGATGATAACTCGGCGAGCGGCAATGACGTAAAGTCACGTTGACGGCAATGAACATGACATCTTTCATCAAGCAACTGGACGAATGCCCCAAGTTCGACGTCTGAAGCCGGCGTATGAGTGAAAGTGTCAGCTGTAAATCGTTTCTTGGCCAACAGTAGCCCCACTTACCAGGATGAGCAGAAGATGAGGAATCACTAGAGGCGCGATAATTATCGGCCGGGCATTACGGTAAAGATGTTAACGCGACCTTCGATCCGTAACCTCGGACAATTACCACCTGACACCGCTGCTTGAAAGCAATTTGCGTATACAGCGCGCTTTTCCAGCTTCCTTGAAAAGATAGTGCAAGATGATGGGGAAAAAAGTGCCTGCGGCCGTTTATGCGCGTCAAGAGGCACAAAAGTGGCTCATTATCTTTGCAATTCGAAGCGTCGTTAGCGCCAATCCCTCTTGACAATCTTGACACTCTTCCTCAAACAAATCCGGGGTCAGCAGCAACGATGGATATATAGAATATACCGCGAATCTACTCGAACACAAGGCGCTAGCAGAAATATTAAAAAAATTATAAAAAAAGTATTGCCTGGTGCAATAACAAGCGCACAATAATAGTTACTGAGGAATAAGATGCAGATTCATCATCATTATGCTAATAGCAATATAATTAATGCTATAATGCATTTTATACCGTGACTCGTTTATATTATTAGATATACGTATAATAATTCTCTACGCCGCGTATGTTGCGTCGACTGTCTCGAAAATTTTCATTATCTAAAATTCCGAAGTAAATGAGTTCTTAGAAGTGTCTTAGCGCGTATGCACGATGTCGCGAACGATGACGGGTGAGCATATCCTGTGTATCGCCAGGTCGTTTTTATTTGCAGTAGCAGTAATAGCAGCACCGCTTGCTGAAGACGAGGTGAAACATTTACACGTTCAAGGATGCTGTTGATTACTGCCTGAAGCATGAGAAGGAAAGAAGGAGGTAACGAGGTTAAGGTCGTTTACCATCCATGACCTCGGCAATTACCATTCGACACCCTTCGTCTTCGTTTCAAAAGCAGTTTGCATACACTGGGAATGTTTCGGCATTGTTCGAGAAAAGGAGACCCGACCCTTTTACAGCACATGATACCCCAAGAAAGAACCCCGTTTTACCGTTAATTGTTCCAAAAATGGCATGAATGGGATTTTAAATACCTATTTTTCTTCGAAAAAAAAAAGTAAAGAGAATAGTTTCGTCTAAATTTGTACGAATAAGAGTAAAAATATAAGGACAACAAATAATAGTATATGCATATAAATACTGAAAGATGTGAAAAGTAAATTTATCTTAGAAGAGAATATATTAAAAACATATTTTTAAAAAATTAAATACTTTAGAAAAGACTTATAATTATAATAAAAAATCAATTTATCGATTATTATAGAAAATATATTTGTTATTATTTAAAAGTCAAAATATATTTTTTAAAAATCTTAGAATAGCATATACTCTATATAATACAACAATTCTGATTTTTACTTCTAAGGAAGGGTGAAAACATAAATATGTATGAAATGTATCCCGCGTGCAACTTTTTCTACCCTTTCTCAGAGTTTTACAACTAATATTTATTGTGACCTAGAGACTGCTTTAAAGCACACCTTTTTGAAAATCAAGGAAATAGCACTCTGGAAAAGTGTTGTTGCAGAAGGTAAGTGCAAAGGGATGTCCCGAAGGCACGACGGTTCAGAGAACGGGAGAGGAAGAAAGAGCAG